TGTGCATATTCCCCTGACACAGCAGGCATCTGAGGTCTGTTTGGGAACTGACATGTGACTACATAATGCTTCAAGGTTTTGTGACGTGGGTGTGGCAGTGCCTCAAATGTAAGGTTGCCAGATTTAGCAAATTTTGGAGATGTAGTAAAGTTAATCATTGCTTGTCTGAAATTTAAATTTTTAAATTTCACTAGGTGTCCCATACTGTGTGTGTGTGTTCCTGGCACATGCTAGGCAAGCACTCTACCACTGAGCTACCTTCCCAGCACATTCTGTCTTTTTTTTTTTAAACTGGCAACTTCACTCTGATATTATGTGTGACCATGTATGTGCATGTACCTGTGCTGGACTGGCCATGTTTGAGAATGAGATGGTATGTATTTGTGTGTAATTCTGATAAGACATTGGGGTGATGTATGTGACTGTGACAGTGTCACCAGGAGGAGTAAGGATGTGGGTAACTCTGGGTGATAAATGTTGTGGCTGTAGCTCCCAGAGGTTGTAACAGCGCCCTCAGGGCAGTGTGGGCTGTTTGCTCAGTGAGGCCCATCAGGGCCAGGAGACCGCCTTGGGTAAACATTTAGATCCGGGTTTTTATGGGACTGAGATGTAGCTCCTATTGCCGCTGTAAAGAACACGTCCCTCTCCAGGCTAAGCCAGCCTTGGTGGCCTCAGAGTGCTTTGTCCTGGACCTTTCTTGAGGGCCTGTGGAACTGAGGCTCTGCTGCTTCCTAGTGACATCACACAAGTCACTGTCTAATCTTCTAGAATAGTGCCCCTAGGATATTGCTTTGTTGCCCTAGACAACTTGGGAATTTGCTCCACCCAAACTAACAGGTAGCATACCCCTGAGGAGGAGGTGGGGGCAGAAGGCACCAGTGGTGGGCCTTCTTACCTCCCAGAGGGGAAATTGAAGTAGTCATCTGTCTGTCTGGCTAAATGGTGAGTAGAAATGTGTACCTAGGAGCAAGTCAAGTCTTGCAGGACCCCTATTGTACAGGACATGGTCAGGGTGGGAGGCACTGGTGGTGAGGATGGAAACTAAATCTTGAGGATTAGAGAAGGTGGTGACAATGCTAAGGACCCACAGGCAAATGGAAAGAGTAGTATGTAATGGGGGTTAGGAGTCAGGAGTCCTGGGATTTTTATTTCTGCTTGACTCTGCTAGCTGGGCCTTCTGTTTCTTTTTTTGGGAGGCTGAAGCCAGATGACATTAGTCTGAGGGGTTTAGATCTAGTGTGGGGAGTTGGCCAAGGGGTGACTCTAGGCAGATGCCCTCACCCCTACTCCAATAGTTGTCAGGGCCTATGAGCAAAGTCTGGTGTAAATCTCTAAACAACTCACTGACCCCCCCCAAGTCCTGGGGTCACAGTCTAGGGGCTGGACCCAGAGGGGTTCTGCTTTGTGTATGATTTGGGCCCTCCTGGAGCCTCAGCTGCTCTCTCTAGGAGGAGCATAATAAGACTCAGTCTTGCTCAGTGCCCAGGGTAATAATTCCTCTCACTCCCATGAGGAGGCTTCTCAGTTTGCTAAGCACCTTCTTGTACACACTTTCACCTTCTACACCCACCCGGCTCCGCTTAGTGCTGTTCTTTCTGGGGCCCAGAGCAGTCAGACATGGGCTCTGCCCTGGGCTCACAGAGGCACCTCCATCCACCTCCTGTGGGACTTGGGTCTGTGGCAGGGGGCTGAATGGGCAGAGAGCAGGGGTCATACTTTGCCAGCCCTTTTCACTGCTTAATCTTTCATGAGAATCATACCTAACATGTCAAGGTGTTACTTTAATGCTTTTTGTTGGAGCCATACATTTTTGGACCAGTGCATTCCTCCATGCCCTACCCTATCCCCGAGTTATATTTTTGAGTGACACTGGCATATATACAGCTCTTCATTTCAGTAATTCTCAGAAGGTATTATTATTCCAGATGAGGAAACAGGCTTGGAGAGAATGTGTCACCTGCTTCTGGTTACACAGCTAGAAAAAGTTTTGAATCTAGGTCTACTGACAGACTGTGGGAAGCAGGGATGGCCTAGGCCTGGGACTTCTTTCCAGATTCTGTCCCCAGGCTCCTTCCCATTCCTTACTCTTCCACTTTTGAATAGCAGGCCCTTAGCTATGCTGCTCAGTGGTGTTGTGAGACTCGGTATGTTCTGTCATGTTCAAGGAGATGTAAAGAGCCTCAGAATCAGGGACACTTAAATTCCTAGGGCATCCTTTGCAAGGGCAAATTAATGAGTAGAATGGAGTGATGCCCTTCTGCCTACCTGCTGGCCAGCCAATCTCATCTGAAATCAAGACCCAGGGATGAGCCCAGGGCATAGCCACCTGAGCCCAAGGGTGCCAGATCACCCACCTTTACTGACCCAAGACCCAAAAGATTTATTCTTGTCTTAATCTGTGTTTAGATGTGAGTGATGTTTTGGTTCTTGCCATCTTGCCATCTGTATCTTCCTGGGTTTCTGTCTCTTCCTCAGATTGGCAGCCTTCTGGGGTGGGGAGTTCCTTCTGTCAGTTTGCCCTCACTGCCTCCTCCTGCTGTCACTCCAGTCTTATCTTACTGTCTGTTGAGATGTGCTGGGTGGGGGGACACTAAAAATGCAGAAGCCACCAGACCAGTGCTGCCATCTCTTCCTCATGGCTGATCCCACAGGTTATAGTCCAATTCCACAAACCAGACTTGGGTCTGCTGGGGTCCCCTGTGGCTCTCCTACCAGCCCGGAAGCAAAAGTGTCTTCCTCAAGGCCTGGGGAAGACAGTAACGTGGCTAGAATTGGGCCAAGGGCAGGGGAGGTAGATTAGAAGTCAGAACCTGGTCCTCCCCAGCTGAGAGCTAGCTGCCCTAACACCTAATCATTCCAGACTTTTTCTTTTTTCTTTATGTTTTTTTTGTATTTGTGGATAGACAACATGCCTTTATTTTAGTTGTTTATTTTTATGCGGTGCTAAGGATTGAAACTAGTGCCTCACAAGAGCTCTGCCATTGAGCTAAAGCCCCAGTCCCACACTCTTTCTTTTTTTCCAGTACTGGGGTTTGAACCCATGGGATCTATACCACTGAGCTGTATCCCCAGCCCTTTTTATTTTTTATTTTGAGGGAGGGTCTCACTAAGTTTCTGAGGCTGGCCTTGAACTTTTGATCCTCCTGCCTTGGCCTCTACTCAGGGGGCCTCTCAGGGGGTTGAAACAGGAGGATTGAAAGTTCAGGGCCAGTCTCAACAATTTAGTAAGACCCTGTCTCAAAAATAAAAAGGAGTGGGCTGGGGATATAGCTCAGTTGGTAGAGTGCTTGCCTCGCATGCACAAGGCCCTGGGTTCGATTCCCAGCACCACACACACACACACACACACACACACACACACACTAAATAAATAAATAAATAAATAAGTAAATAAATAGGAGTGACTCCTGGGTTCAATCCCCAGTGTGTGTGTGGGGGGGGAGGAGTGTGATTCTGGAGGTTGGAGGTGGTTGATAGAGATCTAGAGTCATCACATGGGCCTCATAAGGACCTGCAGCTCATTGTACAGGCTTCAATTTGCTGAATGTCTTGCTGTTGTCTTGCTGTCATGGCTCCCTATTCACCCCCACTCATTTTTAAAATTGGGCCTGATTTACAAACATCTCAGAGCCTTGAGCACTTCAGGAAGAGACACCTCTATTTGTGAACACACCATGCTGACTCCTTATATTTACTCTTAGTGCCTGTTAGCAAAGCTGTTCTATCCCAGGGCTCTGGATGGTGAAGCCAGGATATGCCTTCTGATTCCCTCCTTGTATAGGAGGAACCAAGGCCCAGAGATAAGCAAGTAGAGTAAGGAGCCCTGGGTAGGAGGAGGCTGAGTGGGCTTGTGTCAGATAGCTATGGACTCACTTTGATACTGGGCCAGTGGTAAGTATTTGTTGGACCTTGTTAGGTGCCCATCCAACGGAGCTCAGCAGAGGCCCTTCCTGCTCCTGTTTAGTCCAGGGCCAGTCATGGGACAGGTTGCCACACTCATACTGACCTGACCTCAGAGAAATTGATCTGTTAGCCTTAGTTCACACAGAGTAGCTGCATACAGAGATGGCACTAGGACCCAGGGAGCAAGGGGGCAGCCTCCAGGCTGGAAGGGGTGACTGGAATGCTGGTGGACATATCTCCCCAGAGGCCATGAAGCTCTGATCAGTTCAGCCTGGGAAGGGACCAGGAAGCCTTAGAGGTCTGGGGCCTGATGCTATTTATTGAGAATCTTGTCTAATACAAGGGAGATGTGTGCTGAGAAACGGTGACTTTGGACAACAGCCTGAGTAAGGGGCTGGAGGAGTCCTGGTAAAAGTCCCAGGTGGGAGTGAGACTAGAGAGGAGATTTTGCCCAAGTCTGCCTAGCCTGTGAACCTTGAGCCAAGTGAGAGCAACTTCCAGCTGGGTTGGCACACTCCAAAGGGAATTGGGTTGGGTGTGTATAGGCTTGGTGTGACTCTTGGTTGTTGGGGTTGCAAGTTTTGGGAATCCCTGAGTTGCTGTGGGGCTGTCATCCCTGCGAGTTAATCTCTTGATTATCGTTTGTGTGTGTGCCCATCTTTGGGTCTCCGGTGTTCTGGGGACGGAGTGCCTGTATGTAAATAGGTTGTTGCAGAGGTGTGTACCTGTGAGGGTGGGAGGGGGACAGCAAGAGGCGGTTCATAATTAACTTCCAGAATCCCTCTCTAACACCTCGCCTTCCTTCCTCTGAGAGCCCACTCTGTCTTGGCCACTCCTCACCCAGCCCCCAAGCCCTGCCTGAGGACTGCACCCCCGCCCCCGCGCGCGCCGGGTCCTCTCCCGGGGCGTGTGAGGGCGGGCACTAGGACCCTGCGGGGGCGGGACGGGGCTCGGAGCTCCGTCTGCTTTACCTCCGCAGCCTGGAAAATACCGAGCGAGGCAAGCCGAGCCCGGGAGCCCTCAATCTAGCCCGGAGGGAGGAGCGCGGGAGGGGGCGCGCGGGGCGGGGGGTGCGGGGCGGGGCCGAGCGGCGGGACCCACTGCTCCTCCCCCCAGGGTCCCCGCGCGGCCCCCGGTCGCCCGGGCAGCGGCGGCAGCGGAGGCACTCGCACCCCGGCCCCGGCGGGCCCCGGCGGAGCAGCGGACACAGGTGAGTGGCCCTGCCGGCCGGCGCCCCACCCCGCCCCCGCGCTCACCCGCGCGCATCCCTCGCCCGCGCCGCTGCCGAGTTAGTTGAGCCTGTCCGGTCACCACTGCGCGGGGCCCCCAGCCAGACCGTCCGTCACCTCGGATACCCGCGTCCCGACAGGCTTCCGCGGGCCACCCGCACCCGATACGCAGCCCCCGCGCCGGACCCAGAGAGGTCTGGGGTCGCTCATGGCGGGTAGCCCCCATGACTGTCCTGTGCCCGTCCGCCCTGCCCCAGGGGCCAGCCCCTGTCTAATTACACCAGTTCAGGACCCCAGCAGCTCCACCCGCGCCCCCAGCACTCTGACTCCGGTCCCCAAACCGGTCTTGCAGGTCCCAGGAAGGTGGCGTCAGCATCTGCAACCGCGTCGACAACGTTGTCAGAGCCTCCGCGAAGGACCCAGGAGAACCGGACTAGGACCAGGGTGCTGGGCCTCCCCTCTTTCCCAATGGAGAAGTCAGCGGCCTCAACAGAGCCTCAAGGGCCACGGCCAGTCCTGGGCCGTGAAAGTGTCCAGGTGCCGGACGACCAGGACTTCCGCAGCTTCCGGTTAGAGTGTGAGGCTGAGGTGGGCTGGAATCTGACTTACAGCAAGGCTGGCGTGTCTGTGTGGGTGCAGGCTATGGAGATGGATCGGACTCTACACAAGATCAAGGTAGGGGTGCACTACTGCACCTGCAGCCTCCACCACACTTTACTGCCTCATCCCAGGGTCTCCTGTTCTTGCTGCAGGGCCACAGACCCCTGGGGGTGCATCTTGGCCCAGAAAGAGTCTCCTGCCAGGAACTAGGAGGAGGCATGGTCTACTGGGCCAAGTCTCCATTATACAGATGGGCCAACTGAGGCCTGGAAAGGGGATGTGACCCACTCTGGCTCACTCAGTCGAAACCAGGCATGCCCCTTTTTGCTGAGGAGGGGGACTGCTGCTAGGCCTATCCAGGAGAGTGGTCTCCCCCAGGGACCCCTCTGTCCAGCAAGCCTCCACTTGGCCCCTGAGTTGAGTCACCCCAGGCCAGAGACTGACCCCCTTTTTTTTTTGTAATTCCTAGTTCTCAGCCTGAGCTGGGTCTCCTCTCCTATTCTCTGCCTGATCTTTCCAGCCTGATCCCTTTCTTTCTCCCTTCCCTCCGTGGCAGCTCCCTGAGTTTCCAGCAGGGGCTCAGCATTGTGGCTGGCAGATTGTGATTATCAGATCATGAAGGCAGGGCTTTGATGTCCCTGCTTTGCACTGAGGCAGGCTGGGGTGGGCTGGGGAAGCAGGGAACCTGTGGTCAGGTCAGAAGCCAGCTCAGAGGACAGTTGCAGACACAGCAGCCCCTCACAGGTACCCTCTCACTCCCCTGCAGCTTCATGGTTCTCTCTCAGTCATGAGGTAGACTTGGGGTATGATGGGTAGATGGGACAGATGGGTAGGGGCCACAGTAACTTTCCTGACACCTCTGGTGTTGCTTTGAGTAACACATTTTGAGGGTGGGTAGATTTTCCTTCAGAGGGCTTCTTGCTTCCTTTCCCTTGCCCTCTTCTCCCTTTGACCTGGAGCATGTGGAGGAGTACATTCCTGTTGCCAGGGGCCAGGATGGTGGTCTTTTTAGGGAGGACCCCTCCTACCTGGGACCTAATCTTTGACTTCATTTGGGTATACTGCCTCACACCAAACTTGAGCTGTCTGACCTTTCCCTTCTGATCCTGTGCCTTTCTGCCTCATTTTGCCTTAATCATTTACTGCTTTGTCCATCTTGTCCCCACATGATGTGGCTTGCTCTTTCTGCCTTCTCTTTTCTCCTCCACAGCTCTCTGCTTACATCCTGGCCATCGGACTCTTTCTCTTTGTGTTTCCATGTGTGAGGGTGGAAGGGGGACAGCAAGAGGGGGTTCTGTCTGTTCCCAGGCTGGAGGACCCTGGGCTGGGATTTCTCAAATCCATGTCTGAACTGAGGAGCAGGGAAGGATAGGGCAGCTAAGAGGTTCTAGCTTGATACTGCCTGAGGCAGGAGGGACAGATTCTATCTTCCCCACCATCAGGGCAGGGATGTTTGTTGAAGGAAGGTGGGGAAGGAAGAGACTAAGGAACAAAGCTAACGAAAATTGAGTAAGGTGGATACAAGGGAGCCTGATTGTGACCCGAGAAGGGCTTTTGGCTGGTAGTGCTTAGGGAGGTGGGAAAGTGTAGTTTCTTCACTAAGGTTGGTTCTGGGGGGTGGGTACTCCCACCCTCTGTCAACAGGGTGGAGCTGTCTCCTCCATCTGGCTTGGTTAATCAGTAAACCCAACTCAGCCCAGAGTTGGCAGGTCTGGGGGCCAAGTTGCCACAGTAGACCCCATGTGACCAGGTCAGACTTGTGAGGTGGCCTTCCTTGGGGGTGGAAGTCTTAGAAAAACTGGGATGTTCTGGGCAGGGTGTATATCCTGGCTCTACTTCCCTCTCAGACTGAGCAGAGGCTGGAGGTGCCAGAGGGGCCTTTGAAAGCCCTGTTTCATACTTCCCTTCCCCCCACACTGGGGTACAGGTAGTGAGGCCCAGAGGAGTCAGGAGCCAGCCCAGGGTCACACAGCCAAGTTCTGGCAGAGCTGGCTTAGAGCCCAGATGTGCTAGCCTCCCAGTCCTACCCTCTCCCTTACTTTTCTCCTCATGCTGCCCCCAGCTCTTTTCCCTGCAGTAGAGGAGGTGAGCAGAGCCTAGACCTATGGAGGAGACTAACACCTTGGTCATAAGCATCCCCAGGGCCAGCCCCCCTTCCTTGCCTTTCAGCATAGCAGATGGAACTCTGGGAGCTAGGCAAAGGCCTCTTTGAGCTACCCATCCCCAAAATTCCAGGACTCTCAGGTGCCATGCAGCTAATCCTATTTCTGATAAGAGCTCCTTCTCTGAGCCAAGCATGTTTCTCCTTCAACTAATTCACCCTCAGGCAAGTCCTGGGCAGTAGTAGACTTGTTGCCTTGTTACAAAGAAACTGAGGCTGAAAGAGAAGATGTCCTTTGCCTAAGGTCATACAGCAGTTGAAGCAACTGGCTCCACAGCCTCTGCCCCTCCGTGCATAGGCTCACATCATTAGGCAACATCTGGCCTTTAACCCCATCAATAATTCTTTGAAGAATCAAGGACACAATGTTTTCATCATCCCTTTCTTGTTTGATAGATGACAAAGCTGAAGCCTGCAAAGGGGAGTGACTTGTCAAGGTCAGACAGCAGGTTGAAGCCAGAGTTCCAGGGATGACTGGGTCACCCCAGGAGGCTTGGACTCAACTGCATGTGTTTGTTGAGCTTTGTTCCTCTCCTCCCTCTTCTCTCCTGTCCCAGCCAGCTGCCCCTAGACATGCCCTGTGTTCATAATGGAAGGGGAAAGGCATGTGTGTGGAGAGATCCATCTACTTATTTATTTGATTGATTTCCTCCTCTTCTTCCTACCCTGGTGTCCAGAGGTCCCTGGAAGCCATCACCTGGCTCTGGGCCCAGCAGTTGGAACCAGGACAAAGGAAAGGGGCTGTTGGAGGCCACTTTCACTCTTCCCTTTTTCTGATTTCCATTCTGGCCTGGCCCCAGGCCTGTACCATACTCTAGGTACTGGACAGGAGTCAGATACTGCCTCCTGAGAGTTCAGGCCTTGTACCAGAGGCAGACACTGAACATGGATCTCGTGTACAAGGCAAAGAGCTGCTTGGAACCTGAACCCGAACCCAGGTCTCCCAAATGCCAGACCTGCTCCCCCATGGTTCCCTTAGAGGTATAAGAAACGAAAACCTAGAGATTGTGTCCATCATTCAACTAGGGCCATCTGGGGAACCAGTCTTAGCTATGGTGTCCTCTTGCCAAGTGTGACTGTGGACAAGTTCCTGCCTATCTCTGGACCATTTGTCCATTTGTGCCAGTGGGCCCTTCTGACCCCAAAGGCCTCTGAACTCAGTGCCTGGGCCAGGAAGGAAGGTGGAAGGACTGGACTAAGGAACAAAGCGAATGAAAAGTGAGACGAGGAGCAGAGGGCAGATAGCAGATGACATGGCCTGCTCAGCCTGGATGCCATGTGCTCAGGGCCCTTTATTTCTGCTGCATGCCTAGCCTTGTGCATGGCTAGCCATGTGAGGAGGCAGAGGATGAGAACTGGGCCTTTCCAGAGTCTGCTGGAGAGGGAACAGAAAATTCCAGGTGACCCTTGCCTACCACACAGGGTACATATTCACAGGCTACTCAGAGGCAGGGCTGGGGCCTGGTGGGAGTTCATACCTAGGACAGGTGCCGGGTGCAGGCTGGGTTGGAGGGCCCTTGAGAGTCTTGGTTCTAAAGCAGGTGTGGGATATCTCTTGTGGGAGTGTAGCAGAGAACCTGAAGTTCCTCTTGCCACAGGAAACTGAGCAGTGGGGACCTGTTTCCACTGACTTCCTGTCTGCAGCCCCTCCCCTTCCCCTTTGAAGGAAGCTGTAGTGGCCCCCTTTCAGCCCTGTCTCACTGACCACCTGCCCCACATCACCGGCTCTCTGAACTCAGTGCCTGGGCCAGGAAGGAAGGTGGAAGGAATGGACTAAGGAACGGGACTAAGGAAGGGACTAAGGGTTCCAAACTCAAGCCAGTGCTCAGGTCTTACTCCCTGCTCCCTTCCCTTCAGTGCCTCTGTGAAACACAGCTCACTCAGGGATCTCCAAGGGCCCTTCTTACTCTTAGCCAGTGGGCCCTGCTGCTTACTCTTACTTCTTATTCTTACAGCCTGAAACTTAAAAGTGTCTTGGGGAAGGCGGGGCCAGGGCCAGGACTCTTGGCAACTGTCCTACAGGGTATGGCTATTAGCTTCATCAAACAGGCATGGAAATTGAGGCTCGGAGCAGGAATTCTCATGTGTAAGGCCAAACAACTAGAACTGCCTCAAGTTGGGTCAGAACCCAGGTCCTTGGATCCTTAAGGCTGAGTTCCCTTGGCAACTTGGGTCTAGTTATTAGTGTGGTTAGGCCCTTCTCTCTCCAGACCTGTGGCTCAGAACTTATCTTTCCCTTCATCCTTGGGTCACCCTGTGCTGTGTCACTGTGGGAGGGCACCTTGGAGGGCTCCCAGCTAGGCAAGAGCCTACTCCTTACTGTGTGACCTTGGGGGGCCATTTTACTTTCCTGGGTCCATTTTCTTTTGTTCTATTATTTTATTTTTTTCTCCTGGTGCTGGGGATTGAACCCAGGAACTCACTGGTGCTAGACAAGTGCTCTGCCACTGAGCTACATCCCAAGCCCTTTTTATTTTTATTTTTATTTTGACAACAATGTCTCACTAAGTAGTCCAGACTGGCTTCAAACCATGATTGTCCTGCTTCAGCCTCCCAAGTAGCTGGGATTATAGGTGTGTGCTAACATGCCTGGCTGGCTTTATTTTCTTATCTATGTGGCAGGGGCAGGAATTAATCTGATTTTAGGGCCTTGGACTATATGAGTTCAGGTCCAGGCTTGGCCTCTGCACTCTCTGGGGCTCAGTTTTCTCATCTCTACAGAAAGTTTCTGGGCAGGAGCTTTGTAGAGACTTTATTAACCTTAGGCCAGGGTAGGAAGACTTCACTGCTAGATACAGAGTACTGATGAATGTTAAGGCCTTGATAATTTGTGCCATGAGGGGGCTTTCAATTCAAAATTAGGTCTTGAGGACCCTAGCCCTGCTAGCTCTAGACTGTCTTGGCATGGGGGAAA